ATTGATTATAAATCAGCTTATTAGAATGATTTGTGAAGGATCATGTGACACTGAAAATTCAGCTTTGCTTTACAGGAATAAATTATATTTTAAAGTATATTAAAATTGAAAACTTTTTATTTTAAATTGCAATAATATTTCACAATATTATTTAGTGAAATAATATTCAGTATTTTTTATCAAATAGATACAGCCTTGATGAGCATAAGAAACTTCTTTAAAAAAACTTTACTGATCCCAAACTTTTGAATGGCAGTGTATTATACTGTAAAACATGTTTTCTCAGGTAACCTAAAATGTACATCATTTAGTTACATCAAGGGTCAAATAATAAAAATATAAATAGCACATTAAAGTTCAAAGTTACACACTTTTTTGTGTGCGCTGTACAGGTATGGTATAAAAAGGTGGCCGAAATGTCCGCCCAATAGAGAAAAGTTTTGCTCAGCAAGAAAAAAAAATTAGAGGGAACACTGCTTATCATAATTGACTTTTTATCTCATAATTTCATCTTTATATATCATAATTTTGGTTGTCACATATTTATGACTTAGTATCTTATGTTGATTTTTTTTTTCTGGCATGATTGACTTATCTTCAATATTTCAAATAAATTCTGTTCTTTTGAACTTTATATTCAAAGAATCCTGAAAAATAAAATGTATCACGCTTTCCACAAAAATTTTAAGAAGCACAACTGTTTTTAACATTGATAATAATCAGAAATGTTTCTTAAACAGCAAATCGGCATATTATAATAATTTCTAAAAGATCATGTGACACTGAAGATTGGAGTAATAGTAGCTTTGATTATGAGTATTATTTGACAATGAAATCTGACTTCAGATTTTGGTTTGGTTCAAATCATTCTGAATGAATTTTTAATGCTGGTCCTGCTGCGGCTATAAGGGGAAGCACAATAACAGCAGCGTTTGGAAGCTGTGAACTCACCTCCAGACGAGCCGAAGCCGGAGAAAGCACCACTCTGAGCGCCGAACCCCGGCGGCTGCTGCTGCGCCAGACCGCCGAACGATGGCGCTGTGCTCGCACCCGCTAGAGAGCCGAAGGACGGCGCGCTCTGAGGAGATGCGAACCTGAAACACACAAGCATGCGTCGAGTCAGAGCATGAACATGTGACACAGATGGCAGCGGGTTTATTTGGGTGAGTTATGCGGCGCGGCACAGGTGCGACACACACAGGATTAGATCACAGCACATATCACTAAAATAACCCACACCTCTGACCTCATCCGTCATAACACGACCTCGATTTACTCATCTACTAGATGCTTTTATTAGCAGGAGACCCTGCATGTGTAAATATAGCTGTAGTCATTTCAGAATTAAAGGGTTAGTTCACCCAAAAATGAAAACTCTTGTTATTAATTACAGACAAGGAAAGACTGACACGGAAGAGAAGAAATTGTTAAATAAATTGTTGAACAAAAATTTAATAATTTTTGTTTTCTCTGCACACAAAAAGTATTCTCGTAGCTTAATACAATTAAGGTTGAACCACTGATGTCACATGGACTATTTTAATGATGTCCTTACTACGTTTCTGGGCCTTGAACATGTCAGTTGCATCGCTGTCTATGCAGGGTCAGAAAGCTTTTGGATTTCATCAAAAATATCTTCATTTGTGTTCCAAAGATGAACGAAGGTCTTATGGGTTTGGAACGACATGAGGGTGAGTAATGACAGAATTTTTATTTTTGGGTGAACTATCCCTTTAACCTGTTATTTTCTCTTTCTTTTAGTAAGTAACTCGATGTGTCTTGTATCATGATCTGTTCAACTTCTTTTGCATGCTTACATCTGTTCTGTTGCTCATGATCAGTTTTTTGTTCTTGGTTTTATTTCTGTTCATTTGCTGCATTTTTTCCATCCCAGACAAGCTATTTTTATTTGAGAGCTGTGTTGGCGTGTTTTGTTCATTTCATTCTGCTCACGACTGATGATCAATATCCATCAATTATTCCACTGGACTCACAGTGTCTCATCTAGTTTCAGAGCAACACTTCAAGATGCATTTTCTGACATTTTCTCCACTTCTAACTTTCACTGTAGAGAAATACAACAGGCCAGATATCTTGTGGCTTCATCTGCCAAAGTAATTATCTGTCAGTGTGTTTAAAACTCACTAAATGATGGAAAGATTCAGAGTGAAGGGTTAGAAGATCCTAAAATGTAAATTTGATTGTTTAACATTTCAAAATGAAGAAATGAAGAAAAAACATTAGTATTGTCATTTTAGCAGGGACCCTGTTACTGACCCTCGTGTAATTTCAAACCCAAAAGACGAGCATATTGATTCATATGGATTACTTTTACAATGTCTTTATGAACTTTTTGGGGCTTGAAAGTTTTGGCTTTGCAGACTTTCAATGGATGGACAAAAATGAGCAGGCATGATACATTTTATATAAATGTTAGTATCAGACCTGTTTGTTCACCAAATCAACAGATGCTCTTGTCAAGAGATTAGAAACATTTCCCGTTTTCATTGTCTTTAGTGAATTGAGAGTCAATACTGTGAAAATGGTCATTTTGTGTGTTTGTTTGTGTCTTATATAAGCTGCCCTAACCATAGTCTGCCAAAACCACATATATCCACTAGTCCAGCAGAAATATAATCATGTATGTTTCACTTTATCTCCATGCAATCACACGTTCATAATGGTGTTGAGAAGCTGAACATACAGCAGCCTGTGCTGATCTGTGACGGGAGACTCCTGATCTCTCTCACAGCCTGTAATCTCCAACACACATACACACACGCATAATCTCTGCATAACCTACATCCTGCAACATTTCTGACAAACACGCTCATGTGAGCCGCTGCTGGAGATGAAAATGACAATAATCCAGCATTTAATTTCCTCATACTGAGCGTCTGCACACAGATGTCACGACAAACCACTCGACAACTTCATCTGATTAACTCGAGACACAAAATACATGCACATTCATCTATTCTGCTGTCTAACATGAACAATAAAACACAGCTCTGATCCCATTCATCACAAAGTAAAGCAAGCTCCAGCTTCACTGCACTGTCACACTTTCATCCAGTGTGTTTACATGCACTGGGCGAATCTAGTCTATTTTGCTTTCAGAACATGTCTTCTTTCAGACTAGTGGAAAGAAAACACCCAAAGTACACAGAAAATATCGAAATCTGTAGATCAGTGTTTCTCAACCCTGGTCCTGGGCGCCCCCCAGCACTGCACATTTTGTGTGTCTCCCTAATCAAACACACCTGATTCAACTCATTAGCTCATTAAAAGAAACTCCAGGACCTGAAATGGGTGTCAGATAAGGGAGACATACAAAATGTGCAGTGTTGGGGGGCGCTCAGGACCAGGGTTGAGAAACACTGCTGTAGATTATATCTTTAAAGGGGTCATCGGATGCCCATTTTCCACAAGTTGATATGATTCTTTAGAGTCTTAATGAAAAGTCTGTAACATAATTTGGTTAAAATTTCTCAATGGTAGTTTAAAAACACCGTTTTGACCCTGTCAAAAACAGCTGTTTTATTGCATGTCGCTTCAAATGCAAATGAGCTCTGCTCACCCCGCCCCTCTCTTCCGAGCCACTCTCTGAGAGACGGTAAACTTTAGCCGCATTCATCGTGAAACTTGCTAACTAGCACATTATTAGGAAAGGCAATCGGCAAAGATTAGTTAAAAAACCTTACACTCACTTCTTCTGGAGGTGAAGCTGGATCACGAATGATTCGCGCGAAGATAGATGTATTTATGTAGATCGCATTCCCTTCAGAAACAAATGTAATCCACGGCGTCTTCAGCGGCTCAGATGTCGGGAGTAAATGACGACTGCTATGTTCATTATTACATCCAACAACAGAAATGACAGTTCATTCAGGGCGGGTCTAAGGTAAGACACCAGTCCAGTCTGTGCTGAAACGCTACTGTCAATCAATCGTGGGAGGGGCGGCATCTGAGATCGGCTCGATTTGAGAAAGGGGAAATGATTTAATGAGATGTTGATATTTATAATTATAGGGTGGGTGAGTACACACACTGCCAAAACACATTTCAGTTCAAACAACTTGTAAAAGTGTCGCATCCGATGACCCCTTTAAAAGGTGGTGAGTTTGTTTCTCCACTTCAGCAGAACTGACATTCTCCAAAACGTATAGTTTTATTCCTATCCTCTATATTCCAAAGGCTTGTTCATATATCATTCACAATGATTTATACAACATTTTACTCCTGAAAACACGGTGAAGATGTGTTGATTTAACACAAATTCACATTAAAACCACTGCATTGCGCCGGACGAGGCAGCAGAGACTCACCCGAAACCACCGACGTTGGCGGCTGTGGTTCCCTCACCGAACACCTTCCCCGAGGAGGAGCCCTGCGGACTGCCGAAGGAAGGGGCGGAGCCAAAGCCCGCTGACCCACCGAACGCTGGAGACCCGCCGAAAGTTGGAGGACTGCCGAAGACTGGTGCACTTCCGAAACCAGCTGCAGAACATCAGAGCAGAAGCACACACATTAGCATCAATTCAGACAGGAGAACAGGAAACACACCGCCATTGTTCAGGAAAGAGTCACTCACTGAACGCTCTGAAATTACAGCCATCTGAATAATTCAGTGAGTCATGTCATTGAATTACATTTCCTGGATCGCCGACATTAAAGTAAATGCTTGTTTGGTTCCAGAAAAGATTCAAGCTGAATGTAAAAGACAACTGTGACTAACTAATTTTCATTCATCAAAAATAAATAAAAATAAACAAAACAATAAATAAATAAAAACAACAACAATAAAAAAATAAAATAAATAATAAAATAATAGCAATAAAAAATAAAAACATAATAAAATAAACAATAACAACAACAACATTAAAACTAAATAAACAATTTATTTAGCTTTATTAATGCTATTGTGTTAATATAAGTATTATTATAATGATATAATTAATAAACTAAATAATAGAATTAAATGAAAATAAACAAGAAAACCAACAAAAATAATAATTATAAAAATAATTAAAATAATAAAAGAACAATAGCAACAAAATGCCATAAAACAAAACAATAGAATTAAATTGAAATAAAATAAACAAACAATATCATAATTATAAAAATGAAATATTCAAAATAATAAAAACAATAATAATAGTCCTTGGCATTACAATGTCCATTTCCTCATTTATATGTTAGACTGCATGACACTGTGTGGCGTGTGATTGACCTGGTTTGGTGGGTGTAGAGAACGATCCGAAGCCCTGTGCGGCTACGGACCCCGCCCCGGAGCTGAATGAGCCGCTGGGTTTCTGTTCACCAAACGAACTGCTGCCGAAACTAAAGCCCTTCGCGCTGTTCCCAAACAGGTTAGATGGACCTGACAGAAACAATCCACACAAGAACCTCAGCACTAATGCATATGAGACTCTCTCTGGTGCGCAAAACACAGAGACATCATTTAGATACTAGAATCAATTTTATTCACATTTTGAATTGTTTTATTACTATATTTTCCTTTAATTTTAGTCTTCGTAATTTTGTAATTTTTTTTTATTATTTTTAAATGTGTATATAGGTTTTTTTTTTTTTTTTCCAGTTTTAGCTATTTTAGTACAAGTTACACTAAAAACTAAACTGCCCTGGCAATTAGTTAACAACAAGTTTTTTCTTATTTCAGTTAACATTTATTTTATTTTTTTATGGTTTCAGGTTAATACAATAGCCCTGGTAAGAGTAAATATCCGTGTGTGCACCTGTATTAATGGGTTGGCCGAATCCACCTGCGGCTGGCGTTCCAAACGGATTTTTGTTGGCAGCGTCTTCACTGGGTTTTCCTCCAAGACCACTGAAAAACCCTGATCCTGATGAAGTGTTTCCAGTGTTCGACCCGAACAGACTTCCGCCAGACTGAGCCTGATCGCAAAATCACATCACATCCGTACTTGAGATTCACACTTTCAACTACAAAACCAATTACATTACTGGGTGGAAGAACTGTTTAATCTAATTCAGAATGTGTTAAACTATTAAATATAATATTGCTTCGGTTAAGGGATTTTTAGACCATAGCAAAATCAGTCTGCTGTATTTGAACAGGTTTTCAGGTCTCACTGGCTGGCGATGAAGGCAAACCGAGAGTGAAAACCCGAAATTTGATTCTAAAAAATGGAAATATAGAAGCAACATGTAATTCTGGTGACTCAAAGCAGTCCTGACTGACAGCTCGTCTGGTTTCAGAAGCCTGCGGCAGAGAGAAATTCTGAAACTTTTATCTGGTACGTCGCAGCTCCAGCCTCCACCGCATGCTGATGAAATGCCATCACTGCATCTGAGACTCAAACACACACGTCCAGCTGAATAACCCGCCTGCTTTAGCAGATGAAGATGAAGTGTTTTAGAAGGAGGACTGTACCTGGCCAAACACGCCGGCTCCACTGGCCTGCTGTCCAAACACTGATGAGGTGGAGGCTTTGCTGCCAAACACTGAGCAAAAAAAAAACAAACACAGTTATTAAGAGATCAAACATGAAACTGTTTGTTTATTCTTTAGCACTGGATGAAATCAGGCTCAAAAGTATTAAATGCATGCACAATTATCTATGAACTTGATAAACGTTGCAAATGCATCTTACGATCCACAAACACATACCTTTCAAATAAATGCAGATTTAAACAAAATATACAGTAAATTGCACTAATAGAGATGTTTTTTTTTGGTAATAGTGCATGCAATAAGGACGATACGTGTTTGTGGATCGAGTGGCATGCATGCATTGACAATCCTATTTGATTTACTTGGATTTTGAGACTTGAATGTCTGACTGAAGCATTGGCTTTCAACATGCTCCTCTATCTGACTGACTGATTCAGTAATGCACAAATGAAAAAATAAACAGCAGCTGATCTCAAATGTCACTGATTATGCAAAACATCACAACAAAGTGCGCTTACACTGCAGGATCACTCTCAAATATTAATAAATTAAATGTACAACCATCTATGAAACTGCTAAATCATATATGAAATGATAAACTGCATTATGTATCTTACTATCCGCAAACAAATGCAGAATTAAACAAATGTAGAGCGATCTGTGAATACAAATGTTTTTTTTTTGTATTCGTGTATCAAATTTTGTGCAAGCAACAAGGAAGACGTGCATTTGCTTCATTTGCATTTTGAGACTGAAACATTGATTTCAACGCTCTCTTTGTGCTGCTCTATCTGTTTGACTGATTCGGTAATGTACAGTTCATCTCAAATGTCATTGATTATCCAGAAAATCAGAACATAATATGCAGGCTAAGGTCAACCAGACAGATACATTTGCATCATTTCAATCAGCACATTCTTTAGCTTAGTGTGACTAAATAAGCAGAGCATAAACAGTTGTGAACCGAGCATCCTACAGTGTCACTGAAGCTCAGGGGTCAGAGGTCAGAAACTCAGCTGCTTATAATGTGGATGTCTCAGGATCTCTGAGAATTCATAGGAATGGGAGAAATCCTGGCCTAAGGACACGCCTGAGACTGCTGCACATTCCATTGCTGGACAATCACATCCACGGCCCTGACACGGTCATGAACAACACCCAGGTCTAGAGTCTGTCTTATACAATTACCATTTAGCTGCTTTTCCACCATCATAACCAAACCGCTCTGAGCATGGAGAGGAAGTTCAGTGATGCAAACTCCGCAACCACCCCAAATGTTTTTTACTTATCAGCTTTAAAATGGGGATTTACTGAGGATTTTTAAAGGGGTCATATGATGCGATTTCAAGTTTTCCTTTCTCTTTGGAGTGTTACAAGCTGATTGTGCATAGATAAGATCCCTGAAAAAGCATCATATGACCCCTTTAACATGATTTTAGGAAAAATGCTCACCCTATATACACAGTGGTGTCCAAAATTATTAGAACACCTGAAAGATCTGAAAAAATTGACATTTCTGGCCTCCAAAACATGATTTCATTTCATAATGTTCATGAAACATGCAGATGGTTGGGGTTTATAGAACCCATTTAATGTCTACATACTACTACTAATACTACTACAACTAATAATAATACATATCTATTAATATAAATAAACATTAATACATATTGATATTATTATTATTATTTAAAATATACAAATAAATGAAACAAACCAATAAGAAAAAATATTACTACGAAAACTACTTTTGCATTTTAAAACAAATTATTATTATTATTACTATTTTATAAATAAACTATAAAATTACAACACTATTTATGGATGTCTTAATTTATTCACTTTCAAACAGTAAAACATCGGGCTTTGATTTTGGTGGAAAACTGAAGAGAGATTTTAAAAGCTTTTCTTTTGTTGACAATATAATACATTTTCATTACAAATTAGGGAAGACGTCGGCACATGTTGCGTTTTCAAAAGCACATTGTAAGTGACCCAGATATGAGTTCATATGGAGCAGAATTTACTGTAAACAGTTCTGAGATACTGAAAACACTGGATCATGAGTTGCTCACGTGTAAATGAACAGTGCTGCGTTTCAAACACTTAAGCCAGGAGCGCTTTTGTTTTGCTTTTTTTAGCAATTCATAAGCTGTGGTTCTTATTTCATTGCCTGTGATTCCTTGCATAGCTTACATACAGTATCAAGGCATCATCAGGTTAACAACTGATGCATTCCTGTAGCACAAACAGTAGAGCATGGCACTAGCAAGGTCATGGGTTCAATTCCCACGGAAAGCAATAACTGATAAAATGTGTAACTTGAATGAAATGTAAGTGGCTATGGATAAAAACGTCTGCCAAATGGATAAATGTTTTTGTTGTGTAAATTCTTACTGATTTCATAGCACAGCAAACCATAACAATAACAGCTATTCGGCACAATGGTGGAAAAGCGATTTTGTTTCTGCAACTTCACAAACATGGCTGCACAATCATTTTATATTCACAATATGGCCCAGTGTGATAATTAAACTGCAAAAGGCTTCAACTGAATTAATTAAACACACAGCCTAGTGGATGTGCTGTGGGCTTCACAGTGAGCGGGTGGCGTAACATTAAGATGCTCTGTATAAATGTGGGACAATCCCTCTGGAGTTAAGAGTACTGATCTGCTGAAGGCTCATGTCTCGCTCCTAAAGCGTTTCTAGCCTTTCATTAGTACTGTTATGGATATAAATTGTCTTAACCTTTAGTACAGAACGTTGCTTGTACACAACTTGCACTTGCTATAAAGAGCTGCATCATCGCTGACACATGATAAAAGACATTTGCGAGTTCTATTTCATACAGTGGGACTGTAAAAATAACCTTGTCTAGCACTTATTATGTTACCTTATAAAGCATCCAGTTACAATAAGAGATACAATAATACTACAATAAGCTTCAGTACATTAACTGTTTGACTGAATCAAACTCAATCACACACGATTTGACACTTTTTTTGCAAACCACTTTGACCAATAGCCATTAATTCGAATAACTAGTTCTGCTTCTAAACAGCTGACAGAAAACACAACATTATTTCTAAATTATTAACAGGGAAAACTACTCTCAAGTTGGTAAATGGTAATCTCCACCATTACACCATGTCCTGACTACACACGCTGCGACAAGACTCCAGCAACAAACATTCTGGCTGTCCACACCAGAGGCGACATGACACAACAACGCAACGTGACAGAATCAATCAAATATCACAGCCAATCAAAAGCCTGTGTGGGCGGGCTCTCTCTGGAAGCGCACTACACTCGCAACAAAATGGATAAGTTTATAATCTAATTCATAAATATTAAACCTTTTTAACATTATTAAATGTACATATGTTTGTCATGGAATATGCTTGTTGTTTCGTATTGAGTTCACAATTTATTTTCAAGACCTGAGGGAAGCTATCTGTTATTGCTTTCAGTATGGTTATAAAGGTCACGCAAAATGATATTCAAACTCACTTTAGACACTTTTACCATTGAATAAAGCGCATAATCAGTACCTGAGATTATCATTGTCATAGTTTATATGTTGTTGCTCCAGCCGCGATGTCGCAGAAGTACAAATTTCGCATCGTGTAGTTAGGACACAGTGTAAGACGAGAATTTATCAGTAGTATTTCGTTGGGGTTCATACCACAGTAAAAAAGGGTCTAGCGACACCCCTGGTGGGGATCAATCCAGCAACTTCTCAGTTAGCACCAGCCCTGAGCCTTTCAATTTCAATATCCTACTCTTCCCTGTCGGAATTTCTGGAAATGGGCCTTAATGAATAGCGTGCTTCCTAAAAACCCACCTGGTTGCTGTCCAAAGCCAAATCCAGAGGAGGATGCTGTGGTGGTGTTGCTACCAAACATGGATCCCTGGCCAAAGCCTGAGCTGGACTGCCCAAAAACAGGAGCGCTGCTCTGGCCAAAGAACCCAGTGCCAGAACTGGCTGCGGAGCTGGTGGCGCTGGCTACGAAAGAGAAGGAACTGGCACTGTGTGTGCTAGAGGATCCAAACAGTCCTCCTCCTCCGCTGTTTGTGGCTGACGTGGTGGTGGCTGCCGCCGGCTGCCCAAACCCAGAACTTGCGCTAAACGCCGGCTGCCCAAAACTAAAGCCGCTAGCAGAACCAGAGGCCGCAGGCTGGCCAAAACCGGCACTGGAACTCTGTCCGAAGGCAGGTTTTCCAAAGCCAGAGGTGGTAGAACTGGCACCAAAGACGGTAGACCCGAACACGGTGGTCGGAGCGGCAGAAGTGGGTTGTCCAAAGACTGGGGTTGGAGCTGCACTGGTGGTGATGGCTGCAGATGGGGCAGAGGAGGCTGCTGAAGTGACGACACTGGTGAGATTTATGGCTCCTACAGTCAGACTATCTGTGCCACCTGAAGTTGGGGCGAAGATTGAGCCTGGTTTCTCGGACGTTGGAGCTGAGGATGGGGTGGTTGCTGGTGTCTCTTGGGGTGCAGGAGTGGTTGTGGAAGTGCTGGTGGTCTCAGGGGCAGTATCAGTGACTGGCTCTGCTGCAGGAGGCTCGGAGACAGGCGCCGGTGTCTCGGATGGTGGGGTAACTGATGGAGGTGGTGTGGAAGAGACCTCGAGAGTTGGAGGAGTTGGGGGCTTGTTGGAATGTGCTGTAGTGGGTTCATTACTGGTGGGAGCAGCGGCTTCAGTGACCGGTACGGCTGATGGAGCACTTAAGGTTGGTGGTTTAGGACTGGGTTCTGCTGGAGGTTCTTTAGATTCAGTATCAGCGGAGGGAGCCGGCTCAGTTGAAGTCGTAGTTTCTGGCTGGAGGGACTTTGTTGGAAGAGTTTGCGTCTCCGATAGAGGTGCTCGCAATAGACTGCTGAAAGAAGTGGCAGCTGGTGGAAAGGAAGATGTCGAGGGAATGGTGAAACTTGGAGCAGTTCCCTCCTGTGGTTTAAAGGTGAACGTAGATGAGCCAAATCCTTGTGCTGTAGTCATCTTTGGAGCCTCTGCTGCAGTGCCTGTTGATTCTGATGAACTTCCAGTTTCTGCAAGCTTGATTTGTGCAGAACTGAAAGCAAATCCTGTAGATCCATTGCCAGGTTGTCCAAAAGTGAAACCCAAGGTGGTCTTGGGGGCTTCCTTTTCTTCCTCACTTTGGCCCACTCTTAAGCCAGAAAAGGAGCCGAGAGTTTCTCCAGCATTGCCCTGGGCTTTGGGAGCTTGAGGGAGTTTAGATGGCTCAGGAGGTTGTGTAGAGGAGCTCACGCTCTGTGCGGGAGATGACAGTTTTGAAGTGAAGGAAAACGGCTCCTCAGACCCCACGGGACCAAACGTCATATTTGTTCCCGTGCTGCTTGCAAAAGAGAACTTGCCTGGTAGGCCAGAACTCTTTGCTATTTGCAAAAGTAGGAAAAAAAAAGAAATTTATTAAGAGAGCCCAATACCAATAAGCCAATGTGACCAATAAGCCATTGGAAGGTCCAGAACCTGCAGAATCTCTGACATTCTGCACTGAATTTGAGGGATATTTGGGGGAATTGTGCTAAGTGGATTTTAGCATAGGTATCATCAAATTAGCAAAAATTAAGCAAACACAAAAGGTGCAGAGGATGACAGCGGTCTAAATCAGTGCCTCTCAACCTTTTTGACTCCAAGGCCCCCCACTGGCCACAACAATATTCCAAACCCGACTGGCCCTTATTTAATTTACAGAAATTATTCAATTTTTTTCAATTATTTAATATTCAATTTCAAATTATTCGGAGGATTCAAAGATTAACATAAGCAACTAAAGTAATAATAATTAAAATAAAAAAAAATTTATTTTAGAATTCCATAAGTTATCTTGATTTTTAGTTTTATGTTATTCAAAAGATTGTTTTGTCTTCATTTAAAAAATTTCAGGTTATTTTGAAGCCCATTTGGAAGCTTGCTAAAGCCCTCAGTTGAGAACCACTGCTCTAAATTATGTGGACATTTCTGCAGATTCTTTCAGGCCCTCCTGGCCATTGGAATGGCACTGAAAACTTTGACATTTTCTAACCAAAACCAGTGTTAAAAACTTAAATATAGTAAGTAAAATTATATATTTGCCTTTCTAAATGACATGAGACACACATGGAGATGATACCTTGAGTGTTGTTGGTGTCCTGTGATGGAGGGGCAAAACTGAACCCTGGTGACCTGTGAAACAGCAGATTCTGCATCTAAACCACATACTGGTGTTCATATTCATATGCAAACAATATAAAAGACATGCTCAATATTCCAGTACATCAAAAGTGTTGCTGAAGAGCCACTAACATATGGAGTAGAATCAGTAAGTGCACAAATCTGAATAAATAATATAGACTAAATCAAGATAACCCATAACTAGATAAGTCATAATATTCAATAACAACCATGAAGACCTGTATTGAGATGAAGGTGGTCATTGTAATGATGTTTAGTAACTCACATAGCAGTAAATGAAAAGCCCTTTGAGTTCTTCTCACTGATGGATGAAGATGCTCCTGCGTCAGTTTTAGCAGCTACACCTGTAGAAGCCCACACAGAAACAAGCTCATTACGACACTCAAACCAGCAATACTCCACAGGTACTGGAGTACAAAGTAGTGCAGCCCTCATCTATTTAGCATTTATTCTCAGGGCTCGCATAATTTCAAAATCCCTAGTAGCCCTTCGGGCAGGCATTCTTCAGGTTTTGGTAGCCCAAAATGAATTTAACTAGCCCGAATAAAAAAAGACCGGCTGAACTTTACTGTGGACAAATCAGCATGATCAGCAAAAACTAGTAGCATATAGGGATGTAACGATTCACTAAACTTACGATACGACAAAATTCACAATACAGATTACACGATACAATTTTCTTACAATTTATTTTTTTTACAAAACGATTTTTAAGACAAATTATAAATGAAAAGGTGTCCTTTTATTTCTCAGACAAAATGCTGCATATTTCTTTGTGAAATTAAAATGTTAAATAATAAAACTAACTCATTTAAACAAAGGCTTTGCCTGTGCTCTATTTAAAATCAGATGCAACCACTGCATTTGAATTACTATCCAAAAAAGATGCTAAATACATGTTATTTAGATCAAAAACAGTTGTTATTCAAAAACAGAATGGTCTGATTTTAGCTTTGTGAATGAGACGCAAATGTCACTCTCTAACAGCAGGTGGCGCTTATGGAACAGCAGGTATTTATAGGCTGCTGCCCCTTTAAGACCGAATGCACAGAGCCAATATAATGATGCACGTGCGATTTCTTTCTCCACTGTTTACGTTCAAGACATGAAAATACTTGTCGAGATAGTTATTTTGAGATAAATTTGCGTGTATGTGTCCGTTCAAGCAAAAGAGGAATCAATTCTGTGTTCATGCTCTGCCTGAAACGCCGCTCTGTATGTGCGCGCTTTGAGCACCAAACTGAATTCTTCATGCGCATGAATGGTTTAAAATGCTTGAATGTTTAAATTGGTAAGACTTTAGAAACTATGATCCGTTTCACCCCTACAAGCGAGTGAACAATGCGAATTAAGGAAGGGATTTTATATCACTATTCAAAATAGCCCTTTGGGCAGGGCAGTGATAAATTTTGGTAGCCCGACTGGAAAACACAATAGCCCCGGGACGTCGGGCTAGCGATTTTGTGAGCCCTGTGAAGGATCATGTGACACTTTAAAGGGGTCATATGATGCTGCTAAAAGGAACATTATTTTGTGTATTTGGTGTAATGAAATGTTTATCAGAAAGGCGGGGCATAGAGGAGAAACAATAATGTACAGTATGTGGAAAATAATGTGTTTTTAACCTTAAACCGCATGAACATTTCATTACACCAAATACACAAAATAATGTTCTTTTTAGCAGCATCATATGACCCCTTTTATGACAGTTATAAATGAAAAGGTGTCCTTTTATTTCTCAGACAAAATGCTGCATATTTCTTTGTGAAATTAAAATGTTAAATAATAAAACTAACTCGAAAAACAGATCCCAACTCAAATAAAAAATGATAAAACTAAAAGAAATCTTTGTGCTCTATTTAAAATCAGATGCAACCACTGCATTTGAATTACTATCCAAAAAAGATGCTAAATACATGTTATTTAGATCAAAAACAGTTGTTATTCAAAAACAGAATGGTCTGATTTTAGCTTTGTGAATGAGACGCAAATGTCACTCTCTAACAGCAGGTGGCACTAATGGAACAGCAGGTATTTATTGCTGCTGCCCCTTTAAGAGTAGTGGCGAATTTCTTTCCGTTTACGTTTCTTTCTGTTTTTCCACTGTTTATGTTCACATAAGACATAACTGACTGTGTTTACGAGAATACTTGCAGAGACAATTATTTTGAGATAATTTTGTGTGTATGTGTTCATTCAGAAGCAAGGATACGCGAAAGAGGAATCAATTCTGTGTACACGCATTGTCTGAAACGCAGCTCTCTGTAACCAGAAACCAGCGCGCTAGCTCCGAATGCACGCGAATGTTTTAGAACACTTGAATGTTTAAATCGGCAAGACTTAGAAACAAGTGCAAACAATCAACTACTATTCCGTTTCACCCCTACAAGCGAGTGATTAACGCGAATCAAGTTAGGAATTTTATATCACTATTCAAGATAGCCCTTCGGGCAGGGCGGTGATACATTTTGGTAGCCCGACTGGAAAACACAGTAGCCCCGGGACGTCGGGCTAGTGATTTTGCGAGCCCTGATTCTACTTTATACTGAACAATTTGTACTACTCTGGGAACTCACCAAACACAAAACTACCTGATGTGGTCTGCGCCGGACCTGCCAGTGGCACTGAGACGTTTAACGCACCTTGAAAGGAATTCTGCAAGTAAAAACAATGGTTTCACCAAACGACAGATGTTTGCTCACTCTCGAGATGTTCTGTGTGTGATTTGTGAGAGGAAATCATTGTTAAATACACTGAATTCTGTTAAAAAGCAGTTTGGTGTTTCAATCAGCAGTAACTAGTGTTGTGATTGGTGTTTTGGAGCAGCTCATGTGCGACTTACTTTATTGGCCTCCACTGTCGCCAGAACCTGCTGAATCACCTGAGCTGGAACAGACGCACTACAGACACACATAAAACATGATTGAGTCATTCAGACAACTCAGGGGACAACTTCTAGTAATCAAACAGCACAGGGACTTAAAAACGTGAGTGTTTTTAGGAAAACATTTCCAGGCAATTTTGTAAAAAGAGGAAACCATTATTTGCATCTGCTTCATTTATTTGATCAAAAAACTGCACAAAACAACTCCATAAAGGCCCTTCAATCCCAAAGCGTGTACATTTAGAAAAATACCTAAAAATCTTTCACATTGACATTATATGTCTTTTCAATTTCCACTAAATTATACAATGTGAGGAGGTCGGAATGAGCTCTCCCATCTCACTATACTGTTATCTTTTCAGCTAACGCAATAGAGGTTAATGTTGTGGATTTTTATCATAACAGTATAATATTTTATAATAAAACCTTAGACCTTTCTAATGATTTATAGTTATAGGCTGCCTGCATGTTAGGTAACCTTGCAGTTTAAAAAAAAAAATGTTAAAATAAGTTTTCTAATTATTACATTGTTATATTTATTCTTAAACTCTAAATATTTTTTTAATAACGAAAGTATTATTACAATAGTAATATTGCTTATTATGTTTAATATTTGTATTTTTCAATAATAATCATAATAATAATTATTATTATTATTAGCCATGTTAATAAAAGCACAATTTTGGGCCAAACTGTGGCCAAATTAAATTTTTTACCCAAATCGCGTAGCTCTACTCCCTAATGTGTTTTGCAGGCACTAGCATGCTGGCTTGCTTTTGGCTGGATGGAAATAGGCTAATGTGTGTGAAAAGCTCATATTTACAGATGAATGCCTTTGTGTTCAGGGATGCATCTGAGAAACATCCTGACTATTTGAACAAAAGAGGTCTGATGCTCTGTGTTCACATTTGTTTTTCCTTCCCATCCGAGTCTGTGAGCGTGATGCTCATACAGCACAGGAAGTTCACGTGGAAAGTGTCCTGCGGCTGTTCAGGACAAATAGCCACCGCAGCACTGGTCAGACAGACAGAGTGAGCTGGCAGAACGGCCGACGCTCATGTGACCACGATGATGATGATGATGATGAAGAGCAGTAACTGGAGCAAAGGAAGAGGAGAGATGTGCTCTGATAAACAGCCCAAGCACTTGAATCACGATGACCTCATTACAACGGTCACCTGACCTCTGCACGGCGAACAAAACTAATGAACACAAGAGTGTGTGTGTGTGTGTGTGTGTGAGAGGATGTTTCCCATCTGTCTTTCTGCATCAGTATGAGAGATCAATACAGACAGGATGAGAGACACACACACACACACACACAGGCAGAGACAGCAGTTTAGTGCATACTGCGCAGTACACACTGGGGAGGACAGTATCAATCTATGCAGGGCTCCAGACTGCAAATAAAATGGTTGCATTTGCAACCAAAAATATTACGTTTTTGCTGAGGTCGCCATTGGCGACTATATAAATGTACGTTACGACTTAAACATTAGCATGTAATGCCTTTTTCCTGTTTGTTTTGCGATCACATCTTTTGTTATGTTGATGTAATAACCTGAGACGATGTGCAAAGTTTTAATGACAAAAAGACTTTCAAACAGTCCTCATCTCTGCCAAACAGCAGCGTTGACAGCACACCTGCTAAAAGCAGCTCCAGTTGTGCAGCATGAGAGAGATCGAAAATGACGGAGACGTGCAAAGTAAAAGTGCAAAAGATCAATGTCTATTTCGTGCATAAACTACAACAGGTAAAGCTGTCAGCTGTGTGGACATTAACAATATCGTTAACAATTCTCATTTAGAATGGATACTAATATGGCTCCTTGCTATCAAGATCTTTAGTCTATATGCTGTTCTCACATAATGCATTAACTTAATATTATTTGTAGCACACTTGCCGTTTAATAAATCGCAATAAGCTTTGTGCTTCGTTACCTCTTAATAAAGTATCAGCTTTAAAATTCTGCCAAATTCATAACGAAATTCAAACAATAAATACCATTTTGGCACTCTTTAATGCGACACGAGCGATCGTTTTAGCTCCTCAGTTCAAGCCACACGTGAACCCATCATGTCTTTCTCTTTAGTACTATAGTACGAAACAAACATGAATGGACATCAAAAGGTAGGCTATTTTATAAGATAGCCTACTGAAATGTCTCACGTAATCACTCATTTAGTGTTTCAAACTACGGAAAAGACAAGAAAAGATGAGACAAACACATGACAGTATGACTGAAATGTTAAAGTGTTTATTCTGTGGCACCCAAAAATAATTTGGCACCTAATTTTGTTTCTTATAGGAGCCAATGGCTCCTTAATGGATTTTTTTGTCTCAAGCCCTGCTTTGAGCAAGCATTTATTAGTAAAGGCATAAAAGCTCATTCACTTCAAGGACAATAACTATAAAGATTAACTATAAAGTTTTAATAATCATTCTAAATATATTACAATATTCACTGACTTTAAAAAGCTTGAGCATTTAAAGCATCACATGACAAAACTGCAGAGCATGGTTATAATAAACAGAACCTTATTGTCTGCTGGTGTGGATGCTATTGCTAATATAAGTTATCAATCTTGATGTGATCGGGTCTTAATTTGTGCAGAAATTCAGATAAAAATGGTATTAAATAATAATGTGATAATGTTTGAATTCAATGCAAACTAATTTTTGAATGCAGTACAGAACAGTTAAAGTTTGAAATGCTAGTATACTACATGCTATTTGTGTTCTCACTACATTTGTCGTAAGACCTCACTATACAGGAAAAAGTGCAAAAACAGTGTGACTACTGTGGTGGTCTGCAGCTCTGAACACAGCCACAGCCGCATGCGTGTGTGTGTACCTGTGTGCGTACCTGTGTGCAGCCGCTGCCTCAGGCCGAGCAGCTCAAGCGTTAATAATACATGTGTCTGGGTTAAAGTTGCATGGGACACATGGTCTTGTGCATTCACACACAGATGAGGCATCTCGCTGCTCGCATGTAACACAACGCTTAGACATCAGATACACCTCTGCTGAGCTCGTACAGCGGGAGTCAGGCCGTCAGTGCAGGAAATGATGTCAAATCATGTCGCTCACAATGCTGACCACAAACGCTTACAACCTGCTGTGTGTGTCAGTGCACAACACTGGACAAAACACACACCTTCACAACAACAAATGTTAATGCTAACTATAATGATAACTGCAATGTTAATGATAACAACAACTATAACAACTACTATAAAATTTATGACACTGATAACTACAACCATAACCTAAATAATAAAGATTCTGAAAACTGTAATGACTAAAACATTAACAATAACTGCATGTAACTACAACTACATGTACAATACAATAACTACATGTACTATAAGTGTTACGATAACCAAGTATAGCGATAACGTTAACAATAACTGTAACTATAACAACTAATGATAACAGTAATGATACTGATATTTAAAGCGATAACTAAAACAATGATGCCTGTGATGATATTATTATAGTGATGTTATTGTTAATGTTAACAACTACAACTGTAATAACTATAATAAAATTATAAAAATTACAATAAAACTATAATAATAACTTAATACTGACAACTATAGCGATACAATGCCAACTAAGTTTACTATAACCAATAACCATAACAACAACTACAATAACATCAACAATACTGACATTTATAAGTAAAATGTTAACGATACCTTTGATAACTTATCATTTACATTACGGTTATTGTTACAACTATAACTAATGACAACTATATTAACAATCAGTGACTATATTGACGTTTATATACTGACATTTGTAGTGAACACTAAAACATTAATGACTGTAATAACTATAACAACTAAAATGTAAATAGTAATGTTAATGACAACTATAATCATAACTATAATTATTGTTATTGTCAATAATGATAACTATAACACTGACAACAAGTTCCACTTCATTTTAAGGCGTCCTTGTTACAGTGTAATAACACAAATAAACACGAAGTAATAGTTATTAACAACATATACATACTATAGGGTTAGGGTTTGGTTAAAGGTTATTTTCTTGCATTTATGCATAAATAACTGTTATTACTAAGTACATGTATTATTAAGTACATGCAACAATGATCCCGTAAATCCACATAATAAACACACTAGCAGGCAGCAAATGATTCATATCCATATTCAACCGACTGCAAGTCAGTCACCTGATAGAAAAACCAAACACTAATGTGCTGTGATGGACAGATGTGTGGTCATGTGACCGTCCAGTCCAGCAAATGTCAAATGCTGGTTTATGAATATTCAAAGCTCTTCAAGCTTTAATCCTTTAACATGCATTTCTACGTTTAACAGAGAGCTGATGCCGGTCTCATAGGTCAGCACACGTGTCACGCGTCCAGCTGCTGTTGTTCATCACGCAGCGCTGCAGATAAGAGGGTCTGAGCGCGCTCACAATGTGGTCTAAACACACCCCTTAGGGCAGATGAGCTCATGTGTAAGGTTAAAACAGGACGCCGTACACACGCAGAGCCCATAATAAACACAGACTCAATCTGACCATGACGACGACCTCATTTTAGATGCACAGAGAGGATTTCACACACACACACACACACGCGCAGCACAGCGAATGAACATCAGATTTGTTCTGAGCACATGCTTCTGTTGTGCATAACGTGTGTGTTATGTGCCGTGAGCGCTCTGTCACAGCAAATGAACTACTGTGGTTAAAAAGACAAAACAACCCAGTCTGAGGAATTCTGCATGCATTTTCAATCTGTACTGAAGAAGAGCAACCAGCAGTGCTGTATTCAGTTTGAAAATATATCATAAAAATGGCCCATAATCCCCCTGCTGTGGTTCTCTCACCTGATGACAGTGGACACAGGTATGGGCGGACCTTCATCCTTCAGTTCCTGTACGTTCACCACCTGAGGAACCGTCTTGAGCGTGGACTCTGTCAGAGACGCTCCTGAAGAAAATGACAGAGACAGACTGTAATAAACACACGGACGAGCATGTATAGCCCACAGCAGCAGAAGTGATATTCTAACATTAAATTAATTTAGTACACATGTCAGATGTCACATTTCGGATCACTGTGACATCTGCACATCCATGTGTTTCACAGCCTTCAATATGAGCACCGGGAAAAGTCAATGATTACTTAATTACACCATTATATAATGCTTTCGGGTGGTTGACAAGTCACACTACAAAGAAGCATTCCCTATTTTCCATTTGAAGTGAAAAATGTTTTAAACACTACACAATGGCACAAAAAAAGGGAAAAATTCTTAAAAATTCTATTCTTATATAACTAACAAATGTGGCTTTTATGAGTTTTCTTAGAGATGTACATGGAATGTAAAAAACCTAAAAACCTTGACCACACTGTCAAATCCCTCAATGAATTCCGCTTGCCGCACACTTGCCTCGCGCTATCATCATTTCATTTTAGGCGCTCGTTAAAAAGAAAAGAAAAGAGTATACACTCACCGTCGGCCAAAGCATAGCTTATTTATTCAAATCAGCTGGGGAAATGCAGAACAATGGAAAATCAATCAATAGCCTGACAGAATTCTTCATCTTCATATAACGTTAGCCAACATATTAAAACAAGTCAAAAACAATAGGAAGGTTTATCAAGAGATCGCATTAAAACGGCTTTTAAAAATGTACTTTGTGTAGGCTATATTGTCTAAAAACAAAATGCAACAATGCCCATTTTACTTACTCAGACCATGCGTTATTTGTTCAGTGAAATTATCAACGTGGTCTGGTGAAAGACGGGACCTGAGGCGATTAACAATAAAATTCCTGCACTTGAAAAAA